AAAATACAGGATGCATACTGATATCAACAGAGTTTATCCAAATGTGATAAGGTCCTTTGTTATGATGACTAAATGGAAGAGGAGGGCAAGTATATTGCATTGTATTGTAATGTAAGTGTATTGCATTCATGGAGGTAAGGTGTGGTGTAAATAAGAAATAATAATTCTGCTGCTCTTGTTTCAAACAAGGAATAGGAAACAGCTAAGCAGAGATGTTTTAAATGTATTTTAATGTGTTATATTTTGACTATGTTGATCGGGCTCATCCCTATGTAAGCCGCCCCGAGTCCCTTCAGGGAGGTAGAGGCGGGGTACAAAAATAAAGTTATTATTATAACGTTATTATAAAAGCTACTTTTACACGAGAAAGTAATGCTGTGTTGCTTTGAGGTTTTGTGGTATATTAAGCACCCATTTCAAGTTGTGGTTGCTTATTCATTCAGTCGCTTCAGACTTTTTGTGACCTCATGGACCAGCCCACGCCAGAGCTCCCTGTCAGCCGTGGCCACCCCCAGCTCCTTCAAAGTCAAGCCAGTCACTTCAATCCATCTTGCCCTTGGTTGGCCCCTCTTTCTCTTCCTTTTTCCTTCCATTTTTCCCAGCATCATTGTCTTCTCTAAGCTTTCCTGTCTTCTCATTATGTGGCCAAAGTACTTAATCTTTGCCTCTACTATCCTTCCCTCCAGTGAGCAGTCAGGCTTTACTAGCCCTACTTCTTGGAGAGAAGTATCCAATCTCAATAAAATAGTGAAGAGTAGAGACATCAGACTGGCAATGAAGACCCCATTTCAAGATAGTCGTTCAACTCCATAGAGACTGAAACTGTTATAATATGTAATACTGTAATTCAATTTGACTTTTGCAGAAGTATCTATACTTGCAGATTTAGGTTTCTATAATTTATGTAGACTAGGTCTCAGATTATCTAACATGGTGAAGGGGACACTCCTCCTTCGCCCTCAATGAGCTATGAGCCACTAACACATTTCTGCCATTTGCTACAACTCTTTTCTGGAAACTTTTTGTTGACTGTCAGCCATTGGTGTAGAGGAGTTATGCATATGCAACACTATGGCACTGTGGCATAAAAGGTAAAGGAGGTTTGGAGAGAAACCTGCAGGCATGATCCTGCTCTATTTTCCATGTTTATTTAGCACATATATTGTGAGAAGAAGTGAACAATAAATGACAATGTGTCTGTACTCATGAATTCTTGTCAAGTATATGACTGTTTTCACCATGCTTTCCTCTTGAGCAATATTTTCTTAATGTTTTATTTAGAAGAAAGGGACTGTCTTGTATTCTTAGAGTTCTTCATTTAATCTTACAGGCTTATACTAACCTAAAGTGTTTTTATTGTAATTTTTTTATTGTAATTTCTAATTTAATAGACTTTTGTCATTCAAATCCTGTTGACTGAGAGGCTGAGAGGAAACATGATAGCCATGTGTAAATATGTGAGAGGAAGTCATAGGGAGAAGGGAGCAAGCTTGTTTTCTGCTGCCCTGGAGTTAGGACACGGAACAATGGCTTCAAACTACAAGAAAGGAGATTCCATCTGAACAATAGGAAAAATTCCCTGACTGTGAGAGCTGTTCAGCAGTGGAACTCCCTGCCCTGGAGTGTGGTGGAGGCTCCTTCTTTGGAGGCTTTTAAACAGAGGCTGGATGGCCATCTGTCGGGGGTGTTTTGAATGCAGTTTTCCTGCTTCTTGGCAGGGGGTTGGACTGGATGGCCCATGAGGTTTCATCCAGCTCTATGATTCTATGACTCTATGACTATCCATTTTACTTGTTAGAAGAAATATGTTCAAGTCATTGTGCTTAGAGCACAATCCTAAACACGTCTGCTCAGAACAAAGTTGCATTGAGTTCAGTGGAATTAGCACTTTATTATTATTATTATTATTATTAATCTCATTTATATCCCATCTTTTCCCCAGAATTTTGGTATAAATGCATATAGTTGCAGTCTTTGGGACAGAAGCGCAGTCCTGTTTTGTATATGTCACTTTCTTTGCAGGTTATATGGTTATGTGATTGATTTAAACATGTTCTGTGCTGAAGGGGAGATGTGTAGCTTAGATAAAAGAAGATTGGTATAAACAGAAGCTATTCAGAGAAGTGAACGGAATTGACAAGATTTGAATAAGCTATACACCTGATTCAAGTCTTATTGACTCGAAGCATTATCAGAGTGGTTACAACATGCCACTTGCAGGACAGACAAAAGTTTATCTGATTAAAAGTGTAATAGTTGCTATTATAAAGGGCAAAATAACTTTGGTAGTTCAGCTCATTCAAACTAGAACTTGTTTATCTTGAATATCCTATCTTTCAGCCCATATTTTGCAGGAGGTGTAACAAACTCTCATCTTGCAAACTTTAGCCAATGTGGGTTGTTGTAGGTTTTTCCGGGCTATATGGCCATGTTCTGGAGGCAATTTTTCTCCTGACGTTTCGCCTCCCGCCATATAGCCCGGAAAAACCTACAACAACCCAGTGATCCCGGCCATGAAAGCCTTCGACAATACATTTAACCAATATGTTAAGGGGGCAGTACCTTTTATGTGAAAAGCATTGACAGATGAAATCCATTAAAATTTTTGAGTGCCTCATTCATAAGAATGCCCATCCCAACATATCCCTTCACTTAGATCATACATTCAGATAGCATAGGGATCAAAAGAGATTGGGTATCCTTGATATCCCCTTTCAAAAAACATTCAGGGAATTCAGTTTCATTTGATCTCTGCCAGGCTTTTTTATTATTATTACAGTCTTTTATTTGGGTACTACTAGTTAGCTTGTTTTCTTTGGCCTCTGATTTCATTACAATTTTGTTGACTGCCATTGTGTACATTATACAATGGTTTTTTGTTTGGTTTGAATTAATCATTGCTTTTATTGCTATACTACATTACATGCCTACTGTAAGTTTACCTGTAAAAGACACCCTTTAATGTCTTCAATTGACATGAAGGATCAAGCCTTGCATATGTGAAGGCAAGAATAATTTGAATTCCAACTGGACTTCCAGAAAGCCAATCTGGTTGAAGTATCTTTGAGAGAATTTAGACTAAACAGCAAATTAAAGATTTCAGAGGAAGTCAGTTTCAGGAGGACAATTGTAAGTGATGGGAACAAGGAGCTGGGAAGGGTTGTAGAGACAGGAAGCACCATCAAAAGAGGAAAATCATATCTATTGATAGTAGCAAAAAGCTACCTGTCATGGTCAGCATCTCCAGCACTGAGGACCATTTGGTGTATTGTCTGCCATTGCCTTAGTGTAAATAACAGCTAGTTTAAACTTTTCTGTTTCCAAAACCATTTGTTACTTGAAGGTTTCAGCAAACAACTATCAGTAGAAAAGAAAATGAATAGTTGCTTCTTTTGATTGTTTTCTCTCCTCTTTTTTCCTCAATCTAATTCATGGAGTCTTTTCATTTTGTGTTGTGAAGTTTCTCTTTCTGTTTTATATTTTCAAAAATGAAGGATCGTGCTTGAAACTATATCAGTGGAAATAGTGGAACATGTCTGCATCCTCTTTCTACTTTCTGTTTTAAGGGATTCATCAGATGGAGTCTCCATGACAGAAACATCTATCATTCCTCCAATCTCTTTTTTCTTTTTCTTTTGTTGGCTTTGTGTACCATCTTAACTTGATGAAGAATTCTTGGGAACATGAAAGCTTGCACAATACTTTGTGACCTTAATGATATAGTAGTCTGTCTGATAGGCTGCATTAAGGTATTATAATTATAAAACTGAAAGAGCAAGTAAAATAAATTGCTGCAGTGTCCATTTTAATATTATATTTGGAAACAAGGAAGCTGCTTTGTTTCTCCTTGGAAAGACTAGTTGTGCAATTTTTGATGGCAGCACACATAAAACATATTTTTTTTTTGGTATCATGCCAAATTAGCAGTTTACTATTAAAGTGATGATGCACTGAGGGATGAAATGATAGCCAGATGTTGTCTTTTCCCTCAAGCATAAACTGTATGTATTGCAGAGTTTCAGACTAAATCATAAAAGGGAGGCCAGTCATTGGTTCACAAACTATAAATAAGCACAAATGCCACTATTGCCATTTTCATTGCATCTTTTTGACTTAAAATCTAGTAAAACACTGACAGATAATATTTAAATAGTTATTGAGATAGCTTCATCATATGTTTAAAAATATTTGAGGGAGATTATTTTGTTGGTCTTGCCATCTTTCGGGATGGACTTAGATAGATGGTTTCTCTTACTTTGATCTGTCACACTCTAAAGGTTATTTTTGTTTGAGTACATCAGGGTCTTGGTTTTGGAAAAGGAATATATTTGCATCGCTTGGCTTCTTCTCTACAAGTATTGTTTTAGTATTTTTAAAAATACTGAAATACATTTAATATCATTTTGAAAAGAAACTGAAGAACAACAAAGTCCCATTTGACCATAAACTTTTCTCAGGCTAGATTTGTTTATAAAAACATGCAGTGTCTTTTCCCAATATTGCTAATGCAGAAGCAAGATAGCATACAGATATACGTATCATGTTATTTTCTTGAATATTGAAGGACTAATATTCTATCTGTATATGTAAAACATCCTCACTGTTATAACTTTAATTCATTTCATTTGTTGGATGAGTAAAATATTAAATTGCTAATTTAAGGAAGACATAAAAGTAATACAACTAATTTGACTTTACTTTTCTCCTACTTTTCTCCTACTGAACATACAGCAATAACTTTGCAGATAAGTCGTGTTTGCAGAACTACTGTTTTGTTTACCTTGTATTTAGTAATTGTGAAACATGCAATAGCTCTGCTTAAAATGCATTCCTACTTCATTGTATTTATATGGGTATGGAGAGCTTTTTAGTAATCACAATGCATCAGATTTTTTCAGTGACTTTGCTAATGAAATGAGTTACGTGTTTTGAATTTTTTCAGTAACAGTTTGATTTTTTTTTTGTAACAGTGATACTAATAAACTTACTTGAATTTTCAGGTGTGAAACCATAATGGCAGGCAACAGTCTGGTCCTACCGATAGTGCTATGGGGACGCAAAGCACCTACACACTGTGTGTCAGCCATACTATTAATGGATGATGTATCAATGATTGTAACGGGATGCCATGATGGACAAATATGTCTCTGGGATGTCTCTTCAGATTTAGAAGTAAGTATGTGTGGTATACTTCATGTTGCTTTGCAAAACTGAGCATAAGGTTTGCTTAATGAGCTTAATTTATAGATAGGTTGTTGAAACACATTCCTGCATTTCAGATATAATCTGAATTGGCGAAGTGCCTGGTGATCTACAGGCAAGGCGTAGCTACAGTACACATGCTTCTCCCAAGGCAAACCTTGCTGCTTGAGCTGATGCATAACAATCAATACATGTTATTGATATTCATAGGCTTGCTTTTGTAGGGGAGAGTGTTGATTTTTTTTTGAAAAAAATCATTAAACCATGGAAAATCAATGAATCCTGCTGAAAGGCGACTCTGTGGGCTCCTCTTCTTCCTCCCCCTCCTGACCTTTTAGAGGTCAACCTGCTGGATCAATTTAACATGAATAACTAATGCAGATACTGAACCTGGGAGCGCATTGTTTCTCTTAAACAATTCTTCTTGTAAAAAGGCAGTTCTTATTATTTTGTGGAATGTGGTGAAGCATATTTAGCTAGCAGTATTTATGTGAAGTCTTAAAAAAATGAAGCATGTTTCAAAATACAAATACATAAACAAAAAAACTGGTTCTAGATCTTCTGCATTCCACTACTTGCTCTTTGTCCCCTTTACATGGGTGGGTGTTTACCTTCAATGTTAGATGTATGTCATTTGTATACATACTGATAATTACAGGAGCCTATAAAATTTCCTCAGTGCTCAAATTATTATTAGCAACAAGTACAAGCTGATACATGCTTTGGCAAGTCATAGTATATTTTAAAATAAAATATTTTTCTAACAGGATCTTTTTGATGTTAAATATGAGATTTCATTAAATATGATCCAATGTTAGAGCAGCTTTCACTTATTCTCATTTAAAACTGCAGATGACTATTTTTAAGTCACAGTTTGTTTACAAACCAATAGCAGTACATTTTTTAAAGCGTTCAACAATACTGCCGAGAAAACAACTGTGGAAGGAAATGTATTTGTGCTGCATAGTTAGTGTTTCTCAGCCAATGAAAGGTGCTTAGTTGACCTGATGCAGCCTTTAGCATGCAAAGTACAGCTGTCAAATACAGCAACAGAGTCTGTCCTGTTTAGATACTGGATAAAAACATAAGATCTGTTGATTTGCCAGCTAGCTATTTTATACACTTATAGCAATGAAGTATGAATTGGTTTTTGCTATCTATTGGCAAAAGTTAATATATGAAAGAGCAAAATGCATGATACTTACCAGAGATAGTAACCACTTGGCAACAGAGGAATTAACCTAATGTTTGCCATTTGAAAGAAATGTTTTAAACTGGACCAGGAGTTCTTATATTTAGCCATTGAAATTCTCCTTTTGTCTTGGTCTGAAAAGAAAAACTGCATCATCATGTCAGTGTCATAACAATCAGATGTTTTATATGATGCTCTTTGGATGACGTGTACACACTGGTGGCAGGAGCTTTGCCTCATTTTTGCCTAAAAGGTGTAACTGGACATCACTTTCTGCTGCTGTTACCAGTTTCTGGAACTGCTTCTGGGGAATTGGTGGGTGCTAAGGAAATTTGTTGTAGATATCCAGAAATAGTAAATGATCATTTCATATCTTATCTACCAAAACTGAATGTGGCTGTGTGTAGCATAGGAGATGCAAATAAGGATTTGGCACTGCACTTTCTCCATGCATAATTTAACAAAACATTTGACATTGTTTAGTAGATTTTGAGTACAGATTTTGTGATTTTAAATCTTCATTATAATGTTTTCTGTATATCTGAATTATATAAATGATCCCCCTGTGGCTTGGGATTAAACTGTTGAGCTGCTGAACTTGCTGACCGAAAGTTCAGTGGCTCGAATCCGGGGAGCAGAGTGATCTCCCACTGTAAGCCCCAGTTCTGCCAACCTAACAGTTTGAAAACATGCAAATGTGAAGAGATCAATTTCAGCTGGAAGATAACGGCACTTCATGCAGTCATGCCGGTCACATAACCTTGGAGCTGTCTACAGACAACGCCTGCTCTTTGGTTTAGAAATGGAGATGAGTACCACCCCTCAGATTTGGATACGACTAGACTTAATGTCAAGGGGAAACATAAACTAGCACTTCAAAGTCATTTTTAAATTTCAAGAAGGGGAAATATTTTTAAAATATAATTTGAAACAGCAATCATAGGTGGAAAGCTTGTATCTGAAATAAAATTGTCTTGGTATTATCACAAAATAGTGTTGCTATTGCCTTGGTCCTGATGATAATATTCATCATGAGTACTTAATAAGTTGCCCACAGTTTCCTAGATGCCACACAGAGATTAAGAATAACACAGGCAATATTCCCAGACTAATTTTTAAGGGATTTGTTAGTAATGTAGGAATAAAGTCTCCATTAGGGGAAGAGGGACTAGATGATGCATGTTTTGTGTTGCTTCATTGTGAAATAAACAATTGGTCTGAGGTACCTTTCAGGGTTGTCATATTCATTATTTCATTTACTTATTGAAAAGCATGTATCCTTACAGACTTTCACTTCCAAATACATAATCTAGGCTACAGGCAGAGTATTTACTCCTTTGTTGTAATAACTATTGAGATATCTTTTCATTAATGATTTCTCTGTCTATCTGTTTCCTCTAACACTAGATAAATCCTCGAGCTTTGTTGTTTGGTCATACAGCTTCAGTTACTTGCTTGTCAAAAGCCAGTTCTTCAAGTGAGAAGCAGTATATTGTGAGTGCATCTGAAAGTGGGTAAGTAGTCTCCTGTAGTCACTTAATGGTTTTTTATTCTGTTTTATTAGTGAATGTTGAGTATGGTGCTGCAGTTTGCTGAAACACTTTTTTTCCTAGACGGGTTTATAAGTCTATGTGTATTTGTGTGGGGAATTAACAATATTCCTTGAGTCTATATTCTTCATCCCTTTGCTAGAAGGAAAAGCCAAGGAATGAGCCAAGTGACTCTGGGTTCAAATGAATACAAGGAGATAACTGGTTAATTATGCTTTCTGTTCTTTAGGGAGATGTGCCTCTGGGATGTGAATGATGGACGATGCATTGAATTTACCAAATTAGCTTGCACACATACTGGCATACAGGTAAAAACTTCATATGTAAGCTAAAACATTCTCTCACTGTAATGTATGCATATTCTCCAGGAGAACTACAGATACTCAATACATAGGCCAAGTTTACGATAACCCATTAATGTAGCATTTGTATAGGTAGGACAGACCTTTTGAATAACCACAGAACTGAAAAGAAACTCATAATGATTTGGGATAAATTGTCAAAGTTAAGAAATGTGAGTTACAGGTGTAAGGCAGAAATGTCAAAGCAAGATAGTTGTCCATTCAGATTTTGAAGACACTCGTTGGTTTAATGAATTCAGTTTTATTCCATATACATTTGCATATACATATGGAAAAATGTGTTCTAACATAGCAAAGCTAAATAAACCTTAGAGCATACTAGAAAGTATCCTGGAAAATTTTGGAAAATTATATACATCTAAAAGCTTAAAATTAAGAAGCATGAATTGGTTAATCAAGTATATAACACTAAGACTAAATTGACTTTTTAGAACTTGTTTGTTGTTCATTTCAGAAAATCATTTGGTTGTTGATATAGTCTTGTTATAAGATGATTTAAAATAATTAGGACAGAAAATTAGTAGTTATTTTGAAAACAAATCCTGTGTCATGGATCTCCAACCCCACCCATAAAGTGATGCATTATCTAAGAGCGCTAAATCGCAAAAGCTCTGATCTGTGTCTTATATTGTTTTAATTTAGTTCTATCAGTTCACCATTGGGACTCAGCGAGAAGGGAGACTGTTATGTCATGGTCATTATCCAGAAATTCTTGTTGTCGATGCTACCAGCCTTGAAGTTCTTTATTCTTTAGTGTCAAAGATTTCCCCAGACTGGATCAGTTCCATGAGCATTATTCGATCTCACCGAACCCAAGGTTAGTAAACAGCTTTCCTAGCAGCACTTAATGTTCAGAACTTTCTTTCAGTTTTGACATGCAATGTCTTGAATCAGAGGCGATCCTCTGAATTTTGTTGGGTTTCAGGTCCCAGCTTTCCTCACCATTAGCTATACTAACTAAACCTACTGAGAATTGCAGTCCAATAACTCGGAGGGGCCCATTCTTCTCCACTCTGTTTTATATATCTTCATGTGCTGTTTTGGAATCCAAACCAATTACAGTATAGTGCTGTATTAGCCCAGGTTTAAAATTTTTATTTTATCTGTTAGTTAGAAGTTTATTTCAATAGAAAAGTTAAAAGCTGATTCTTCATGAACCCCCTTAGTAGGGTTAATTTTAGCTGCTCAGCCCAACCTACTTCTGGGTACAACTTTAAGCTAAGTCTTAAATTATACATATGTCAGGCAATATAGTTCCAACATATTCTCATTGTCATTCTGATGATTTGTAGTTGGTGCTTTAAATTACATTGCAAAGCAATGCAGTATGATTATATTTCTGAATGCAAGAGCATTATAGCATGCCTAAATAAAGAAAATCGGTGAAGAGAATTATCAGGATCAAATGTATACTTTTTTTTAAAAAAATCCAAAACTCCAGATTCATTAGAAATAAGTTGAACTATATAACATGGAGCTCAATGAATAACTAACCTCAATCACAAATTTATGGAATAAATTAAAGGAGTTGTAGGGATTTAGGAATCTACTTTATGCTTATTAATCAGATGATCGGTCAATTCACTTGGTGTTGTCTAGGGCTGTGCTATTGAACTACGTGGTCCCTGGTGTTGGTTCTTGACAGGTTTCCAAGAAAGAAACCAGAAAGTATTAGATATGTATTAGATTGAGGAAAGCATTACATCAGTGCCGATATCTTCCTGAAGTACTGAACTGAAGTACTGAATGGTTAGCGGTCATAGATGATGAGAATTGCAGTTCAAAACGTGTAGGCGTAATAAGTTATGTACAAATTGACAGCAGTTCTTGAAGATTTCAGAGCAGCATTTTCCCCTGCTCTATTAGATGATCCTAGGTTAGTGACATGTGCTTTGTCACTGAAAAACTCTCTTTCACCTGATATTCTACATATACTTTTTAAGCTTACTTTATGAACTTGCCTTGTAATATATTTCTTTGGATGTGTGTCTGTCAGCTTGCTTTATGGTAGTGGTTCCCAACCTGTGGTCCATGGACCACCAGTGGTTCCCGAGAACTAAAATACAGTTTGCGGCTTAACCGTTACTACATCATTGCAATGAGAGCAACTGGTTTCATGAAACCTTTTTATAGTGCCAAGGCAACGAGAATGTTGGTAGGGGAAAGACTGACTACCATGAAAGGCCCGACAATAAGCCTCCTGACTGCTTCTTCTTCTTCTTCTCCTCCTCCCTCTCCCTGAATGGAGCCATTCCATATGGCACCTGGGAGCAGGGGTACCTTCCTGTCTTGGTTTTTAGGCCTGTTCCTGGGGTTATTTTGGGTGCTGATTCAGAAAATTGCATTGGATAGACCACATCAGCTCTAGGTTATTGAATATGGTTTTCTGTAAGCGAGCAGATGGCGGCTATTGGATGGTATATGTTCTGTATCAGAAACTAGAAGTGATGTGGTCTATCCAATGCAATTTTCTGAATCAGCACCCCAAATAACCAAACTGAATCTAAAGTTGACCAGAAACTGATTCGTAACCATTTTGGCACTAATGTTGGAGAGTGGTCCCTGGTCAAAGTGATCCTTGGTCAAGTGGTACCTGGTCAAAAAAGGTTGGAAACCACTGCTTTATGGAGATGATTAAAACAGTCCTGATCGTCTTTCTGTTTTATTGATGTAGTATGCATTTCTTTTTCATCTTTGTTTCATTAGAGGATACTGTTGTAGCTGTGTCTGTGACAGGAATTCTGAAAGTGTGGATAGTGACCTCTGAAATGAGTCATATGCAGGTAAAGAAAATGTGATTTAGCTCTACTAATCATGTTTTTTCCTTCTAGAAAGAATTGTTCTGCATTATCACAAAATATCTCAAAATACTTTAATGGATTTGCATTATAACTCAAATATTGTTTGTCCTCATTCATTCTTCTATTTTTTCTGCTTAAATATGTTGCTCTTAATTGTATTAAGTGTAGATTCTGTTTAAGAATATCTTCTGAAGATCTAGTACTTAAAAGAAGTAACCTTATTTTTGTTTTGTTTTTTCCTTTTTAAAAAAATATGAAGCATTTCTGTTTTTCAGTTTTAGTGTTTTGATTAACACTTCAGCTTCTTCATGACGGGACCCTATACTGTAATTTCTTAATTACATCTCTTAAGATTGATTTTTTTTTGTCCTCTAAGAAATGAGTTCTAGATGTGGGAAATATGCTAAGATGAAAATAGTGGTCAAGGATTAAATGGGAGGGCGTTCTCAATTCCATAGAGTTTATTGTCGTATGTACATTTCAGGAGGAGATAGCATGTATTGGCAATTGATTTCTTAATTATCTAAAATAAACCCTAGTTTTAAGGTCACAATGGGAGCAGCAAAATGCTAAGAAGTCCAACCCTGTTACATACCTCCATAATAAGAGAAACAATGCTTATACAGGGTCTTCCAGACAAGCCCGATATGCCAGGATCTGATTCCAGGTATTCTATTTTAAACTGGATTATATGAGTCCATACTGCCAATTAATCTGGGATAAACAGAAAACCTGGGATCAGATCCTGGGATATAGGGCCTGTCTGAAAGGGCCCACACATTAACGTATGAATAAATAAGTAACCTTTGAATCGGTTTGTCTCTTTAGGATACAGAACCAATCTTCGAGGAAGAGTCTAAACCAATTTACTGCCAAAACTGCCAAAGCATTTCTTTCTGCGCATTTACTCAAAGGTCACTTTTGGTAGTTTGCTCTAAATACTGGCGGGTAAGGATAACCAGTTAAGTAAAAGCTGGCTTTTCTTTGTTGTGCAAGCTATTATAATTAAATTGTGTATGAGGCATGTATGCAAAGAAGCTTAGAATAGTCAGATTCTAAATCAATTAGAGTTTGATTTCATTGGATATATAATCTGTTTGGTTCATGGGAAATCACGCTGTTGCCAGTATGTTGCTTTGGTGTTGAAATTCTCAACCATCTATCCTAATGTTGTGGTGCACTGTGAAAATGACTCGGATATTAGGTATGCTCTTTGCTTTTTATCTTTTTAAATACATATCTTTTGTAGTATTCTATAATTCTTGGAGCATTTGGCCTCTTGTGGAGGGAGGCTTCTTTGCTAGTTTTCCACTACGTGGCTGAAACATTGCTTCAGCCTTTTAATGTGCTGAATTGAATTCTTTTCCCTATGTCTTATTTATTTATATCTTTTGTAGAAGGCCGGGATGAAAAAAATGACTTTTTCTTGATATTTGTATAACTATCAACCATGATTTTTTCTTATCTTCAACTAACTCCAGCATTAGAGTTGACCCATTTAAATCAAGACGTTTCCTAAATTGTGATCAATAAGTTCCATTCATTTAAATTAATGTACTTTAAATAGAACTAACAGTGCATTTAGCCATTAGTGGGATGTTTTAACATGTTGTTCAATATTCTGAAGCTACTGCAAGCTATTGAGGTGTTTTTAAATGGATGTAAATTCTTTTATAAAGCAATAGTATATGACAGAGAGCAGGTCTGTTCACATGTTATGTCCTGATTTGGTTTATTTAGAATATCTAAAAAGGAGCCCTCACTGGTGCAGCAGGTTAAACTGCTGAGCTGCTGAACTCACTGACCAAAAGGTTGGCGGTTCAAATTCGGCGAGCTGGGTGAGCCCCTGTTGTTAGCCCCAGCTTCTGCCAACTTAGCAATTCAAAAACATGCAAATGTGAGTAGATTAATAAGTACCTCTCCGGCGGTGAGGTAACTGTGCTCCACACAGTCATGCCGGCCACATGACCTTGGAGGCACCTACGGACAACACCAGCTCTTCAGCTTAGAAATTGAGATGAGCACTGCCCCCCAGAGTAGGACACAACTAGACTTAATGTCAAGGGGAAGCCTTTACCTTTACCTTAAATAGTACAAGAAAGATTAAAGAGGTTGAATTATTGGCAAACTTTATGCTGAATGATTTCTTTCCATAATAATTTTTCTTTAGGTATTTGATGCTGGAGATTATTCCCTGTTGTGTTCAGTTCCCAGTGAGAATGGGCAGACTTGGACCGGAGGTGATTTTGTGTCAGCGGACAAAGTGATCATATGGACAGAAGACGGTCAAAGTCTTATCTATAAATTACCAGCCAGGTATATGGAGTTACTTGTAACAGAGAAAAGGCAAATATTTTATCATTACTGTTTTGTTTTGGGGATATTTTTTTTCTTTGTTGTATTTGTAGAATAGAGAGAATTGAGGTTAAAAGAGGTAGAATATCAAATCATGGTTAGAAACTGGTTTGTTAGAATGAATCATGGTTCCCTGAATTTGGGCATCAAAAGAAACTGGATATAGAATCATAGAGTTGGAAGAGACCTCATGGGCCATCCAGTCCAACCCCATTCTGCCAAGCAGGAAAATCACATTCAAAGCACCCCCAACAGATGGTCATCCAGCCTCTGTTTAAAAGCCTCCAAAGAAGGAGCCTCCACCACACTCCGGGGCAGAGAGTTCCACTGCTAAACAGCTCTCACAGTTAGGAAGTTCTTCCTGAGGTTCAGATGGAATCTCCTTTCTTGTAGTTTGAAGCCATTGTTCCGTGTCCTAGTCTCCAGGGCAGCAGAAAACAAGCTTGCTCTTTGAATATTCTGATTTATATCTTATACATGTGAATGAGGAGGGTGGAAATGGATCATGCAGATCTTGATTATAGCAGGCCTCTTCTCACAGTGCCAAATGAAATCTGGATATATTACTTGAACTGGAATTTCCTCTATAATATGACATAAAATGTATATCACCCATAACTGCATAAGAAAAACATTTGCTTATTCAGAAGTAAGTGTGTGTGCGTGTGTGTGTGTGTGTGTGTGTATGTATGTATGTATGTATGTATATATATGAATGATAATCCCTTATAGCTTCTCTTGATATGGCAAGCTTGATTCCTTGCCAGAAGTGACTAGATACTCAGGCACTTTGGTTTGTTGCTTGTAGATAGCCAGTTTTATTCACAGATTCTAGTGTGTTTTATGAATTTTACATATTATCAGATGAGGTTTATGTATGTTCATTGTTTTTAGATTGATATTGTTTTTTATGCTTGTGTATTGTTGTCTTGAGTATGGCACTTTGTAATGGTTCTGTGAGCCATCCCAAATCCCTTCGGGGAGATGGTGGCGAGGTACAAATAAACTACTACTACCTCTCCTTCCTTCCTTCCTTCCTTCCTTCCTTCCTTCCTTCCTTCCTTCCTTCCTTCTCTCCCCCCCCCCAAACTGGCCAATCCATGCTATCTTACTGTGAGCCTCTCTCCCTCCCCTCCTCCTCCTCCTCCTCCTCCTCCTCTCCTCCTCCTCCTCCTCCTCCTTTATTAAAACTGGTTTTAGGTCACTATATTTTGTAAACTTTATCTGAGCTTTTATACAGTCTCTGTATGAGGTGTTAGATACTATTTATGTGGCTTTTTATCCTCCAGTTGTTTGCCAGCTAGCGATTCATTCCGCAGTGATGTTGGAAAAGTTGTTGAAAATCTAAATCCTCCCCAGCTCCACTGTGTTGTAGACAGAGCCGTGGAAAAAGAAGATAAACTGGTAAGGCCCTCTTTGAACTGCTACATTGTTTAGAATAAAGTCTGTACTTTTCAGATGTTCAATATTGTTTCTGGCTTTAATTTGATGCAGCTTTAACTTATTATTAATTTCATATTCTTTTGTATTTTTATCATGTCATTGTTTCCACTTTACAGTGCCCAGATAACATATTATAAGTAGAGAGTTTTTAAATCACTAGTCATAAAAATAAATTAAAGTTGTCTTATTGTTAGTCAAAATATTTCTGTATTGCCTGTATTGCCTTTAGTAATTAGCACTATGGGTGCATCTACACTGTAGAATTAATACAGTTTGACACCACTTTAACTGCCATGGCCCTATGTTATGGAATTAAAGCAGTTGTGGTTTTACAAGATCTTTATCTTTTCCTGCCAAAGAGTGTACTAAACTACAACTCCCATGATCCTGCAGCATTGACCCTTGGCAGTTAAAGTGGTGTCATATTGCATTTATTTTCTGTTATAGATGCACCCAATGTTCCTAAGTAGGTTCTAAGCAACATTACTACCTGGTAATACTGGGATCTAGCTGAGGAAATTTGTGCATGATTATTACCTTCCTTTCAAATTCTTCTGATGCTTTTCCTATTTTACAGCTGTTAATCTGTCCTCCCGTTACTCGATTCTTCTATGGCCGCAGGGAATGTTTCCATAAATTGCTAATCCAAGGAGACTCCTCAGGAAGGCTCAGTGTTTGGAGTATACCAGATACGCTTGATCAGCAAAATGTAACAGAAGGTAGCTACTTCGCAAGTTATTTATTTAAAATGTAATTTAAAGTAAACCTTTGTCTTATAAGGATAGTCCTGCTGTCATCTGCAAGACCCTGCAAGTCTAATACTGTAAACAGTTCCATGTGTATTGCCAGTGTAGGTTTTTTTTTTTTTTCGTATCAGGAGCGACTTCAGAAACCGCAAGTCACTTCTGGTGTGTCAAAATTGGTAGTCTGCAAAGAAGTTGCCCGGATGTTTTACCATCCTGTGGGAGGCTTCTCTCATGTCCCTGCATGGAAAGCTGGAGCTATTTATTTATCGTGTCATCAGCAACCAGACCATCATGTTACATTTCTAACAGAACAAAACAAACAGATAAAAAACCCACAAATTTTGCAAGCTTGGTAGTTGATTAAATGTCTTTTGACCGGTATCTGGCCACTTGGAGTGCCTCTGATGTTGCCGCAAGAGGGTCCCCCATTGTGCATGTAGCAGGGCTCAGGTTGCATTGCAGCAGGTGGGCAGTGGTTTGCTCTTCTCCGCACTCACATGTCATGGATTCAACTTTGTAGCCCCATTTCTTAAGACTGGCTCTGCATCTCGTGGTGCCAGAGCGCAGT